ATTAAGAAGAATGAAGTTACGTTATATCACTGAATCCTGAAAATATTATATCAAAGCAAAGTAAACCACACACAAAGGACAAATATTGCATAATTCCACTTACATGAAACACCTAAACTAAACAAATTCATAGAGATAAAAGTAGATTAACGGTTATCAGAGGCTAAAAACAATGAGGAGTTACTGCTTAATGGCTAGATTCTGTCTGGAGTAATGAAAAGGTTTTAGAAATCAATAGTGATAAAAGCTGCACACACTGAATGTAATTAATGAATGTCACTGAATTCTACACTTAAAAAAAAGGAAATCCAAACATTCCAACAACTATAAAGATTAGTCATGGAACTCCTTATGATTACAGTTACAAGTAGGTTTACACACCAAATATATTTACATGTAGATTCTGCTTATCTCTAGACACTATCTACTAAACTCCATATAAAAGATCAATTTCTATGTGTGATAATCATTCTTTAGATTAAAGAGGTCTGTTTGTACGAATATCAATTTTTTGGAGGGACTATAATCTTAAAAGACATCACACAATTTTACAGTTTCATCAGGTCCAAAACTAAGGAACATTCTGATGACTGCTTTCTGAAGAAATGTGCATAAACCATGTTTTCTTTATAATTACACTCTAAACAAGGACAGCAGTAATCATCTGGCATTCTAAATGGATTTGCTGATGACTCTTGACACCTGCCACTCTTGAGCTCTTTCAAAAGCCTTAAATGCCTGAGCTCCCCTAACAAAACAGCAATGTGTTTACTAAAAACATAAAGGGTTTACAAATCCATTCATATTCCTTGCCTTTACAGAGCAGTCTTCAATCATTTCAACATGTTTTAAAAATGCACTCAGGTTTTGCAAGATGAAAAGAGCTCTAGAGATGAATGGTGCTGATGCACAACGTAAATGCACATAATGCCACAGAACTGTCTGCACGTTTAATTATTAAACTGACAGATTTATATGTATTTCAGTACATTTTAAAAATGTACTCAGTTCAATATTTTAGCATACAAATTATTCAATTTGTGGAATTTATGGCCTTTGTTTCTTTTCATTCTCATTCATTCCTAATGTTGTCTTTTTCACCAAATAAGATGCATGAAGGGCTGGAGAGATGGCTCAGTGGTCTAAAGCACCTATTTGGAACAAGCTTGGCAAAGCATCAGGGACCGCGGTTCGATCCCCAGCACCACATGCCAGCCAGCCCCGCCCCCTGGTGGGCTGAGCTGGCCACACACACACACCACACTCTCTCTCTCTCTCTCTCTCTCTCTCTCTCTCTCAAAAAAAAAAAAAAAAAAAAAGATGCATGAAAACTTGCATATATAACCAAAAATCATGGCATTTTTTCCCTATCCACTTCAAAACACAAATGAAAAAATAAATTCTCCATTTTTATCTGAAAAAGAGGGAAAAAAGGCTAAATTATCATTTATGTTGTTAAAAAGTTTTTGTTTCTAACATAAAGCAATATTTTTTTATCCCACTGGAGAAAATAAGATTTGGGACTATCAATGTCAATCACCCAGTATAGGAGTAGACAATATGCAAGTAGTTATGAAGACAATTAAAGGAAAGAAAAAAATCAAAAAGAATGTATGAGAAAGATAACAAAACTGCTAACCATATTTTCTCTAGATTTTAAAGCTACTGTGTCACATACTGAGCAGTCATCAACGTCTTCAATCTTAACAAAAATTAGCCCTTTCAATGTTTTTAGACAAAAGCAGAGCCTTCTGAATTTTGTTACTAAAGTTGGCATATTCAAGGCAGGGATGAAGCTCAGTGACAGCCCTCTGGTTCACTTGCTAGCACTATCAAAATAAAACAAAAAAAAAAATTGTCATATGCATATTCGGACTCTCAAGACTGAAATAAAAACTATAGAAATATTGCCTTTTGTAATATCCTTCTATGGTAATAACATTTATTATTATAGTATAACTTTTAATATAATGGAATTAAACTTAGTTACTTCATAGCAAAATAATAACATACAGGGAAGAAAATAACCTGGAATTATTAAAAATTGACCACTCACACTAGGATCATCTTTGATTTGTAATTTTTATTTATAATGCTCAAACCTGATTGGCCATAAGAATCTCCTAAAAAGGAAGGAGTAAGAAGGAAAGGAAGAAAGAAGCAGAATAAGAAAAGAATTTAAATACCATTTTTCTGAGCTCAGTCCAGATGGAGATTTGCCATGTAAGGTAATAAGGTCTGGGAATCTACAGGGAGAAAGCTCCCTAAAACAGCAATAGCAAACCTACAGTACACATGCCACAGCCAGCTGTTATCACTGAAAGCTGTAAAAGGTTCACCATCACTACCCTAGAGGATTCTGATGACCAACTATGTTTCAGAACACACATATAAATTTTTCTTTTATAGAATCTGTTTTCTATTTCTACCATTCTTTCAACTTTTTACCTCTCCTCTACCACCTAGATCTGAGAACTGAACCCAGGAGTTCACATATAATCCTTACCACTGAACTACCTCCATAGCCCTTTTTCTTTTTCCTTTTGAGACATGATCTTAGTAAGCTGCCCAAACTGACTTCAAACTCATGATTCTCTTGCCTCAGCTTCCTGAGCATCTGGAATGATAGGTATTACTAGCCATTTCTACTTTTTAACAATAAAATACCTACTTACAAGCCTAAGAGTAAGGTTCACATGAATTATTTCTTCTACTATAACAGGACTGTGAAATAGACAGATAAGGGACTGAAGTTTAAAGAACGTAAGAAAATTACTCAAACATCAACCAACAGAGCCAGAATTTAAAGCTATGCTTATAGTCTCCAAAGCCTATCTCTCCCAGAAGCAGAATGGTAGAGCAAAATAAAAAAATGACAATAAGAAAGAAAAAAAAAAAAAAAAAAGGCATTTAAGGGGCCGGCGAGATAGCTCAGTGGTCTAAAGCACCAGCTTAGGCAAAAACACTCAGGGACCACAGTCTGATGCCCAGAACCATGTGCAGTGCCAGCCCCATGCCCAGGGTGGGCTGAGCCAGCCACAAAAAAAAAAAAAAGAAAAAGAAAAAGAATAAGAAAAAAGAGGCAATAAATGATTGAATTTGAGCCCATGGTCTGATACAACAGTTCTCTCTCCAATTTACTTGTTTCCTCATCTGTAAGTAAGGCTAATAATACCACCTATCCTGTCTTACTCAAGATTTTTCTGAGATTCAAGATGTGAAAATACTCTCAAAAATCATGAAAAATTATTTAAAAACAAGCTATTAATAAGGAGCTAGAAAATATTGATTAACACAGTAATTAGGTAAATGCACAGATTTGGGACCCAAATTTTGTGTTTGAACCCCAACACTACTACTTCCTAGTTATGTACCTTGGGGAAGTAAGCTCACTTTTGTGCAATGGTTTTCTCATCTATAAAACAGAGCTAAACCAATCTCAGAATTGTCAAACAGTTAAATGAATTAATGCATGTAAAATGCTTAGAATAATTTTTACCACATAGTAAATTTTTGACAATGTTGAGTGTCAGTTTTTTAAGACACATCAACTGTTTTGTTTTGTTTGTTTTTTGTTTTTTATTTTCTGATTTGTTTTTTGGTAACAGGAATCCAATTCAGGACCCTGTGCTTGCTGAGCCATACCTCCCAGCCCAATGCATCATTTTTTTTTTTTTTTAAGTTGAAATACTTAATGACAGGACAAAAGAAGCACAGAAGATGCTGGACCTTTCTTTCCTTACAAAAATCTGGATAAATTCCACCAATTCTGGAAATAAACATTGGATAGTTTTAATTTTCAATTTAAACTATGTGGCTTCCAAAATGCTTCATTTGT